ACCCACCCGGTTGCTAGCACATCGATCGCTTCTTGTTTAGTGTGAGCAAACAAGTAGATGCAACAGCGAGTTCGCGGCGATGCCACCAGCTTTGATCATCTCAAACGTCGATTTTTCATTGTTTTGAGCCTACCGTAACCTTACCATGCCTATCCCAGTCGTCTTTTCTAATGCTGCGCAACATACGGTACCAACAATTACGTGCGGTTACGGTGCGAAGCAACGGTATCAATTTTCAAAGGCGCGAATGTGTCCACAAGAACGAATTGGCTCATCCCAAAACATCTGCCCAAAGCAGCGCACAGTGCAAAACCGCGTCGCTACGTAACAAGACGTAACGATCGCAGATGTTGCGACCGCCCTGTAATCTCGCAACAAAAGGATTAGGGGCCCCCACCTCGATAGCTTGACCCTCTTTATGGTGGTATGCATATGCAAATTGTGCCTTCAACGGCTAGACAGTAGTGACGAACAATTGACAAAGAACGCGCTTGCAGAGCAGAGGCATTTCGACTCGAATGTGCTATTGTTTGGACGCGGCCAGCATTCGCTTTCCATATTTTCACGGACCATTACACTCTTGAGGTAGCCCGAGCAAATTCAGTAGACGTTAGTTGTCCGTGTGGAATCGGTTTTGCGCGGATTTGCCCTACGCTTACTACCCCCTAGCAGAAAAAATTTCTCTGTATGCATAAGCAGAAAAAAAAGCAAACGCAACGCAAATGCAGCTAAGCACGCATCCTAGCACAATACGAGATTGCGCAACAAAGACTCTCAATCCTGGATCGATAGATATCGAACGTACGCATGCATTAGGTCACTGGACCGACTACTATTCCACTATTTGACCATAAAAACGAAAGCAAAAACAAAAGAAAATCTTACCTTCTTCGAGAATAGTACCATTGAATTGCCAAAACACTTCTAGTTTCTCCGTTCCTTCCACTAAGCAAACAATTTCAGCTGTAGAACCTTCCTCTGGATGCTGTTCAGTTTGAGGACTGATGAATTTGGGAGGGTCTGAAAGAGAAGAGTTTTCTGAACTACCCGGAAACGAGCATTCAACTGCTCGCAAAAGTTTATTACGAGGCCTTGACCTCCAAATTAAAACAGCTCTCTCGGGTCGGAGTGGAAGTGACACCTTTGCAATAGCCTCACTTCCTGTCATCGTACTATTTACCTAGCCTACATTAGCAGCATTTTCTTGGCCAAAAGAAGTGAGAGCTGGTTAGCAAGAAACACTGCCACTGAACATTAATTTACACAGCACTCACCGGCAAAGCTGATCCGTACGGTCGTCTCTTGCTCTTCGCCATTCACCTCGGCTTTGCACACGTATTCTCCGCTGTCACTAATTTTCGGTCGATTTATTAAGAGTTGATTGGCATAAGTTTTGTAGATGGTCATGATGCTTCCGAGGCGTGAAACTACGCTTCCGTCCTTATACCATTCGACTTTCACATCGCTGGCGGCTCCATCGTAATCTTTCACTTTACATGAGACCATGAAATTGTCCCCAGTCTTCTGATCCAGTAGCCGGTCGCCATTTGGAATGACTACCAGCTCCCAAGCTGGAAAGAAGAATGAGTTCAAAATGGTGTGAAACTTTCTTAGGATTCCAAATAACTTGACTAAGGTCCCAAGAAACC